TTTTAATACATCGTAATAAAAAAACGAATTTTTGGTCACCGAAGCAAAAAAAATTTTAGTAATATTGAAAATGCCAATAAAGAAGTCAAGGTATATAATATATTATTGATAAAAAGATTTTTTAAAACAAAAATTCATCCCATTTTTTAATTCAACAGATCATCTTGAGGCGTTATTTAGGTGAGTTGTACCTTTTGACACGTGCCACATTTTTTAAAGAAGACATTATTATATGAACTTTATAGACTTTAGGCACTTTGCCTAGAAAATTTTAAGACTTAAAATTGTTAAAGAAAGTAAAAGGTTAAATATGCTTGGTATGACAACCATTAGGTGACACAATATCATCTTCGATAAAATATAAAAATTGATATTTCGGAGAAAAACAAAAAAAAAAAAAAATATTACTATTTCATTATGAGTCGTACAATACTTTCTTTTCAAAAATTAAATTTACATCATTTTATTACAAAATCGTTTAAAAGAAATTATTCATCATTAATTTTAATTTCAATAAGAAGACCTTCATCGGCTTATTATTCTTACAAAAATAATTCTGATTTTTTCAATTCAACAATATTATCAAGGTTACAGTTGATGATACGTTCATATTCAACAGGTTCTTACCTTATTTATTTTATTTGATGGTTTAAATAATTTATTTATTTTTTTAATTTTAAATTAATTTTTTATCTTTATAAAAAAAAGAGACATTAATAAACCCTAAAATTCATGAAAAATTGGAAGGATTAATAACTCGTCATTCTTCACTATCCGAGCAATTATCTAAACAAGTTGGTACCTTTATTAAATAGTATTTATTGTCATATATAATTTTTTCAAATGTCTCATTTTGTCTCATTTTGTCTTATAAAGTTATCATCAAGTGATGATCCAGATTGCTTGGCAAAACTTTCTAAAGAATTATCGGATTTAAGTGAGATAACCGATCCTTATAATGAGTTAAGAAAAGCACAAGGTGTAGTATAACCTATTAATTACGCGACTCTTTTAAGGAAAAATGTAAAAATATCTTTACTAAAAAGAAATAATATTATAGGAACTTGAAGAGATTAATACTATATTACAAGAGACAACAACTACAAAAGAAGAAGAATTGAAAGAACTTGTACAAGAGGAATATCAAGA